AAGAGGGAAGGAGGAGGAGGAGGAGGAAAAGAGGAGGGAGGGGGGAGAGAGAGACAGACAGACAGACACCGCCCCTCCCCCATCATATCCATATGGTATGAATCTTGGTTGAGAGCCAAGTGGCCTCAATTACTCTGATCTGGTTAAGAGATGGACGCAGGCGTCCCACCCCATGTCTTGTTGGCACAGTATCTTAAGTGATACCCTCTATTGAAAAACATTTTGTTGAGAGGCGATGAAATTGATTCTTTTAGAAAGTCGTGGTGAGGAGAGGGAGAGGAGAGATGTGTGCGATATAGCATCTACTGTGTTCTTCATTTTCTGTGAGGGGGACAAATCTTGCAGAAAACGCTTGACATATGCTGATAACTCTATTCTTACTGCCAATTGCCTAAGCAAATTGTTATGTTACTCCCCCCACCCCATGGTAGTACTCTCATCTGCACATTTTTGTGTTGAAAGTTAGCTGTTTGGTGACACTGCATTTGGCAGTGAGGCTCTGAATGTGAGAAGGTGTTTTGGAACATTAGCAATTACAGCGTTGGGTGGTGGATAAAGAAATAGATACACAGATATTAGACCGATGCGCAGTTTTCCAGTGTATGTTATTTTCCACATAAAGATATAGAACATTTCATAAAATGTTCCCAGACCATTTAAAATGCTAAGAAATGCAGCTGATGCAATGAAATACATAAAGTACTTGTAAAAACATACAGACACGCAAGTGGATGGCTGCCAGACAGAGAATTTAAAGGCGGTTTGCTTAACTGCAGGGTGCTAGGTTTTGTACATGTGCCATGCTGAAGCTGTTAGTGAGGCGGGTGTTGTGTTGCTTGAGAAAAGCAGATTGTATTTGGACCTTTTTAACTCAGATGTTTCCAATGTCGATATTTTGGTGACATTATGGCATTGCAATCGACTCTTGCTGGAAAAAAGAAGAGAACCCACTGCGCAAAATAGACATTTTCAGAAAACCCAAGCAGATCATTTTCAGTTTTTGTGTTAATTTTCTACAAAATGGCTTTCATGGCTTTATGAACCATCAGACAGGATCTTTGAGCTAATTGAATGAAAGTTTATTGCTTGGTTTTTGCTTTCAAAAAGGATTGCCTTAAAAAAAAAAAGAAAGAAGGTATGCTCTGGAGAGTTCTCAGAACTCACGAAGTTTGCTTTTGTTCACCTCAGGCTCAAACAGACTCCAAATGAAAAGATTTGTGCTTGAGCCACTGTCGGTGATAATGCTTGAATTAGCTTGAACACGAGTCTGTTAGAATCTAGGGCGCTCATTGTTGGTTTATTCTCAGGATGCTTGGAGGGGTGGGTGGGTGGTGGTCACTGTGTGGCCTGCTACCGAGGATGCTGGCACTCCACGGTCTTCTCTGCCATGGTGTATTCACAGAAGGGGATTTGTCCTTTTATTCTTTTTTTCTTACCTCTCTCCCAGCCCCCTCCCAACTCTACTATGTTGTAGATATGAATGGTGAATATGTGTTTAAAATAATTTGGGGTCAGAGTGATAGTACAGCAGGTAAGGTGCTTGCCTTGCATTCGGTTGGCCTGGGTTCGATCCCTGGCAGCTAATGTAGTGCCCTGAACACCGCCAGTAGTGATTCCTGAATATAGAGGCAGGAATAACCTGAGCACTGCTGGGCATGGCCCCCAAACAAACCAAAAAACAACAAAAAAAATCTAATGTAGTTTCTCACTAGTATTTTTAAAGTGCATTGAAAACTTTCCTTTTCCCACTCTTTCACTTTTAATCTGTAATAATAAACTATCTTGTTGGGGGGTGGTGGTACCTAGTGGTGCTTAGGGGGAACCAGCAATGCTGGGTATTGAACCTGGTGCCCCTGTATGCAAAGAATGGTTCCAGCCCTATAAGCAATTTCTTCAGTCTAATAAATTTTCTTCTTACATTTAAATTTAGTTTTTTTAATTTAACATGGTTACAATAGTGTTAGAGTTTTTAGTATAAAAATTTATTGCACCTCTAACCATCACCAAAATGACAAAGACCCTCCACCAATATACCTGTGTTTTTTTTTAAAGAATTTATTTTTATTTTTCATGGTTATTGTTATAGACTTGCAGTACTCTCATGCCATGTACCAGGTGCCAAGCTCCCTCTGCCAATAAACATCTTTTAAATACTGATACTGTCCTTCCATTGTTCATCGATTTGCTCGAGTCGGCCCAGTAATGTCTCCATTGTGAGACTTCTTGTTACTGTGTTTGGCATTTTGAATATTCTTGGTAGCTTTCCGGGCTATCCAAGAGGGGTGGAGGAATCGAACCCAGCTCGGCCAGGCTGGCTGCATGCAAGGCAAATGCCCTACCGCTGTGCTATCACCAGGCTTTTAAATGAAAGAATAAATTTTGATTTCTGACATTCATGGCCTGGCCAACTGATGCTTAAAAAGTGAAGTCCTTGGTTTTTTTCTCCCTTTATTTCCCTTGATTTTTTTATCTATTGATAGATAGATGGATGGATGCATGGATGGATGGATGCATGGATACTCATCACACTCAGCAGTGTACTCTCTCTCTGGCCCAGTGTGTGTGTGTGTGTGTGTGTGTGTGTGTGTGTGTGTCTGTTGAGGGAGGGGGCTTGGCTGCCAGTAAGCACAGTAAGAAAGAGGAAATGATACTAAAGATTCATACGTGACTGTTTTCTGTTTGAAGTTTTGTGGTTAAAGAGTGTTGAGGCCAGAGTGATGGTACAGTGGGTTGAGTGCTTGCCTTGCACATAGCTGACCTGGGATCAGTCCCCAGTACCAGCATATGGTTCCCTGAACTCTGCCCCAAGTGATCCCTGAGCCCAGAGTCAAGCCTAAGCCCTGAGCACCGCCGGGTGTAGCCTCCAACCCCTACCCCCAACCCCCCCCCCAAAAAAAAAACAAACAAACAATGTTAGTCACCTGACAGAAGGAAAAGAATGAGCCTTAGTTGATAGCTTCCCAACCTCTGTTTTACTGTGTCCCTCAGTGACCAAAAAACTGCATTTGGTGGTAGTGGTGGTGGTGGTGGTGGTGTCATCAGGATAAAAATTTGTTTATTTATTTTCACAATCAAATTTTAAATCCTAATAGTTGCAGTCCAATATTATGTTGAAAATCCAACTGGACATTTTTCCTGGACCATGTTACTCAATAATTTAGGGATTACAGACCCTGCTTTCTTATTCAGGCTCCCTCGCCCTGCCCCCACAGAGGCTCACTCAGAGGCTCTTGGACATGTGGCTTTCTCTTGGCTTCCTGCCTGCTACTTCTAATCCTGTCGACCTCATGCTCTTTGTGCCATGCTGTTAGTATACCCTGTGGCCTCGGGCACAAGAAAGCCCAGTGCTGGTGTGTTTTCATCCCCTCCCCGCCCCCCCCCCCCACCATCCCCGCACCCCCCAGATTCTGCTCATCATGGTCTAAGGCTCGTCACCAGGCCCTCGTAGTGAGGGAAGCTGAGAATCAGAAAGAAATTGCCCCAGGTTTTCAAATCAACCGGAAGTCTTCTCTGAGAACTGAAGTGGCCTGTGGATGGTGCCCACTTTCTCATCACAGGGCCCATTTCGGGAATCTTTGCTTTTTCTTTTTTTTTTTTTTTTCTTTTGCTTGTTGGGTCACACCCAGTGATGCTCAGGGGTTTCTCCTGGCTCTGCACTCAGGAATTACTCCTGGCGGTGCTTAGGGGAACATATGGGATGCTGGGAATCGAACCTTGGTTGGTCACGTGCAAGGCAAACGCCCTATCCTCTGTGCTATCGCTCCAGCCTCGGAAGCTTTGCTTTTGGTGCTGACCTCATGAACAGGCCTGTCTCGAGTGTTGAGAAAGTCGCCTCTTTGGCTGTGGGTGAGTTGGGAAAGGTTCTTTTCCAGATTTGAGGGCACCCTGTGACCAGGTCCCTTGTTTTTTGCACTTTTTGGTTCTTCACTGCAAGCAGTGCACTGCATGGTGGTGCTGTCATGTGGAGGGTTCAACTCTGCCACGGATTCATTTCCGCAGAGAAGTAAAGTGGTGTTTTAAAAAGCCGACTGTGACAAATGAGCAGGGTAAACACTGTGGTCACTGGGAGAGAGGATGACCATCCTATCACGTGCTATTTCACAAGGGTCTTGCACGGACAGATGAGTTTTCAGATATTATTCGGATCATTCCCCCTAATGCCCCTTAATGTGCCTCAGAGGATTGCAGTCATTCTTTTATTAGAAAAAAAATGGAATGTTTTCCTAATCAATAGCAAATGGAGTGCTAATAGCTTTTAATTAGTCCACTCCTATCCTGCCTCACAGGCGACAGCCTTGGATTAGCCTGCAGTTACAGGGGGAAATCAGGTGACCTCTTTCGTACTTGCACTTCAGACAGATGCTCACGAAGGGTACCTTTACCTCTGTATTTCTGTAGTTTCTGAACAAGCCTAATTATGCTTAAGATCTTGTTGATGCCGACAAGGTAAAGCGTGCATTGTTTGGCTCCGGTTTGAAGAAAATGTCATTTAGTTTGATCTTTATTTTCAGCAATTCTTTTAAGTATTTGGGGAAGGGTATATTTTGCTTTTAAAAGTAGAAATCTTGCATTTAAGTCCCCCCCCTCCTCCCGCAACGCATGTCTGAGGCTGGTACCGAGGTGGCATCTCAGTCCCCCATCTGCAGCCGCAGGAAAGCGGCTTCTGATTAGTGCAGGAAAGTCAGGCCGGTTTAAGACTCATTTTCTCCGGGAACTATATATTGAGGGCAATTTGCAGCTGGCAGGCTTTTTGCATTAGGTAATAGTCTAAAGAGAACAGTAGCATCAGGTCTTTAAGATTTTTCTTTCTTGTCTTTCTGGAGGAGGGTAATGGGGGGCCGCGCCCAGCCCTTCCCTGTGCTCATCAACACGGCAGCCTCAGCTGCCCCCCTGGATCCCCTGCCAGGGCTGCTATCATCTTCTGATCAAATATTAATGTGTGATCCTCTGCTTGCTCACTAATCCAAAGCCAATTAATATTATCTGTCAATTATTTACAGATCCTGAGGTGCAGAGGCAATTCCCCGAGGACTACAGTGACCAGGTTCGGAATGCGTAATTAATTTTTTACATGACAAAATTTATTTCAGAGTTGTTCAACATATTATTACTGTTCTTTTAACCGAAAGAGATAAACGGGTTTTCTTTTTTTCTTTTTCTTTTTGTTTTCTTTCTTTCTTCTTCTTCTTTCTTTTTTTTCAAGAGAAGGGAAGAGAGACAGTAATTAGGAGCCCAAGACAAAAAAGTGAAAACATACTGAAGTAGGATTAAGGCTACTAGATTTGGGTGGTTCCTTTGGGAGTATAATGAACAGAAAGGAAAATCTGTCATAAATTCTATGTTTTATTCTGAGGTACACTGCAGTCTGAAGTTCATTAGACCTCTTTTTCTTTCTTTCTTTTTTTTGAAAAAAAAAAAAAGGCTACGGAAGTAGGGAAATAGTCAAGAACCAATGAAACAACAGTAACAACAGAGAGTGGGGGAGGGATGTTGAGAACCTGCCCTGGATTTTGACGTACATTCTGAGACTGTGTTATGGTAATACCCAAGGAAGAGGCATAGGCAGAAAGGGTGTTTAGGCTGAGGGTGGTTCAAATGATGGTAAGGAAAGTTCCAGTTGGCTGCTTGGTCCTGCCCTCTGGAATTCCCTCCATTCTGCCAGTTTGCACAGGAGCGGAAGGGGTTACTGATAAAACTGTGCTGAAAGTGCTGAGATTGTTCTGCTCTTTGTAATTTGATCCAGATTATCTGTTCAGAATTCCAGTTTCTGTCCTGAGTACTGTTACAGAGGTTTTGCAGCTTTGTGGCATAACCTGATGTTTTTAAATCAACTGAGCAAATTGGTGTATACTTTTAAAACACCCTTTTGAAATGAAAGCATCTTTAATTGCCCTGAAACAAATGACCTTATAAAACCTTTCACAAATGGGAAATTTTACACAATAAAAAAAAAAAACCACATCTGAAGTTCATCCATTTGTTTCTAGAAAAATGCTATTGAATGAGGCTAAGTACAATGAAATGGAAATGGTCAATACAGGAGTAGTAGTACCTTTTGCAGTACCTTTACGGATGGGTATGAGAGCAAGTTAGTGGCGTTTTGTTTGGTTGGTTGCATTTATGTTTGTTGGAGTCTTCTCTGGGCCACACCAAGCAGAGCTCAAAGGCCGTACCTGGCTTCATGCTCTGGGACATCACTCTTGGCTGTGGTCTGGGGGCCATGTGGTGCCGGGGATCAAACCCAGGTTTTCAGTGTCCCACGCATGCAAACTGTCCTCGTGTGGTATCTCCTGGCCTCTTAAGGGCGAGGTATCGGATACATCTTTCTGAACACAGGGACTATAGCGTCACCAAGAATAGAACCACTCATCACTGTATTGAGGTCCTGGGTGATGTTATTTTATTGAGTAAAATCCAAAACAGGGACGGAAAATGAGGTCAGCGGTAAAGTGCCCACCTTGCAGGCACGAGACCTGGGTCCACTCCCTGGCACCATGAAATAGAAACCCAAACCAAACAGAATGGATGGGTATGATTTGTTCTGGGGTTATCATAAGGACTCTCATAGGAGATTTTAAAAAGCATTTTAATTTCTATTCCTTCTTCATCTTTCAGTAAGAAAGTTGAAATCTTATCTTGTCATAAATTCCTCTGGGACTTAGCCCCTTGAATTTAACGACACAATCTAGAAGTTTATAGGACTTTTTTGGGGGGGTGGGGTGTGGTAAAGGGTTTTTAAAAATAAACAGTGTACACATAGTTAGTAGCTCTTTTAGCATTATTTAAAATAGACTCGAGCCCATACATCTTAAGAAAATTATTTTTTCTGAAATCTGTGCTGGGACTGGGGTTTGGCTCAAATGGTAGAGCACATGTCCTGCATGTGCCAGCCAGGCCTTGGTTTTGATCCCTGGCACTGTGTGTCTTTGCAGCTAGGGCAAATTACCTCTGAAGTCCCATCATATGAATTTCCTAGTGAGAGAAGATTTTTCTATGAGCCAATATAAAATAACACAGCAGGGCTGGAGCGATAGTACAGTGGGTAGGGCATTTGCCTTGTACACGGCTGACCCAAGTTTGATCCCCAGCATCCCATATGGTCCCCCAAGCACCGCTAGGAGTAATTCTTGAGTACAGAGTCTGGAGTAACCCCTGAGCATCGCTGGGTGTGACCCAAAAAGAAAAATACCTAAATGACATCAGAAAACTGCTGGGTCTGTTTCTTTAAGCGTTATGCTATAGCTGATAGAGTTTTATGCTATATCTGAAACATTTTGGCCCACATATGTCTGGGGGCATACCGTTCTGTTTTTACAGAAAGGCCATTTCCAGCAGTGCTTGCAAGGGGCCGGGTGGTACAAGGATCAAACTGAAGGGCCTTAATCATGCGAGATAGGTGCTCGGCCACTGGAGCCTTCACCCTCTCCCTCTGGGGTGCAGTGTGAACAAATTGCACGGGCAAAATATAGTCATGACCAAAAAAATGGGAAAACTGGGGATGGAGTGACTGTTCAGCAAGTGAAACTCTTGCCTTGCATATGGCCAGCCCAGGTTCAATCCCCAGCACCCCAGATGGTTCGTTGGGTCTGCCAGGAATTATCCCTGAGTGCAGAGCCAGGAATAAGCTCTGAAGACCTATAGGTGTTGCCCCCTAAGCAAAAACAACCCCTCACCCCAAATAAAAGAGAAATATAGAGATAAATTAAGAATCAAATGAAAAGAAAAACAAGTCATCTTTAATCTTATTACTTGGACACGGTAACAATTTTATGTTTATTTTTTCATGTTTACTTTCATTGCGTGTTTGATGAGAAGATATGTTTCTCTGTACAGGTCTTAATAGGCACATATGCATATATGCATATGGGGAGAAGTGCAGACTATTATAAATTTATAATTGCACATGGAACACAGTTTACTGGTTGGATGTTATGAATTTAGTTCTCTTTGATGAATGGATGATCTTAGAAGTGTTGCATCTATTGAAGTTGATTTTAAAGTTACAGTAGGAACCTAAAAACAACTTTTAGCGATTTTAAAGTGCTTATCGGAAGGTATTTGTTTAGATCAGTAGCATCATTTTGAAGGCTGGTCCTCCGGGCTGGGAGACTTCTGAGAGCATATCAGTGCCTTACTTAGCATTTTTTTTCCAACTCAGCTCATGTGTTTTTTTTTCCTTTACTGCATCTCGCTCAAGGGTGCCAGATGAATGCAAGATCTGCATTGTGTTTGGTGAAGGTGTCACCACATCTCCAGAATTTCACTTGGGAACAATCTATTGATACGGAGAATGAGACCCCTTTCCTTCTTATTTACCTTTTAATCATTTGGTTTCTGTTCTTATGGTTCCCCTCACCCCCTGCTATACACTTATTAGATTAAATCAAACTATCCTTCCTCTGATACACTGTTTTAAAGGACTTTTTAGAATTTCTTTTCTGTTGCCTACAAACATTCAGTGCTCAGTAGGCACTTAATCTAGACCATATTTCCAGTATTAAAACATTTATGATATAATTTGTCAGGAAGAGGTGAGGCAATTCACCACACAGTGTAGCACTTACTGCCCCTCTTTCCCACCCCCCCAACACACAGCGTCTCCGCCCCCGCCCCCCCCCCCAGATTTCCCTCCCCATTCACCCAAACTGCCCGTGCTTGTTTTTACATATAGTGTGTTTCCCATGTCCCAGCACCGTTGATCAGAGACGCTGGCTGCTGCTCCATGTTTTATTCTGTGTGTTCTTTGTACCTTACAGTAAAAGAATCTGTCACAAATTATTGTGGCTCGCTGCTTTAGAAACTGAGAAAAAAGGGAGGTTAGATTGACATCTGTGACTGAATAATGATGACCAGCCTTTTGGCTCTCCTTGAGCCACAAAGCTAGCGTTGCCTTTAGAGCGGAGAAAGAAGTAAGAAGAAAGGGGAGGGATAAAAGGGAGTTACAAATCTGTGGTCCCAGAGATGTATTACTGTTGGGCCAGTTGTCTGCGTGCTATGATAATCCATTTTGATCTTCTCTGTCTTAATTGTCGGCTAAAGACAAATGGGCAGTAAAAGTTCATCAGTTTCATCTTTTTTTTTTTTTTGGCTTCTCGTTTAGAAGCAGAATAAATGATCCATCACTACAGAAGTAGCCTTTCTTTCTGACACGGAAGTAATGCAGACCCAACACGTTTTATTAAAATGTTTTTCCCTCATTATTTCAGCCCTCTCAGCTCTGATAGATCTTACCGTTTCATAAAAAATGTAATCTGAAATGTAAATAAGGGTCCCGGTACAGAAGGAAGGAGTAATGAGCAGCCCGTGCGGCGTTTTAGGACTCTTGATTATAATTACTGACAAAGTGATTTCTCTGTGCCCCATCTTTTTTTCCCCCTTTTTTAAGTTATCTGTGACATCTTCAGACTGCAATGACATCTATGGTTTAAAACCATTAAATCACCATGTAGCACTCAATATTTCATTTAAAATCTGGTGAGCCTGCGATCTTTAAACCTGAAGGTACAGGCTTTGTTAATTCCTGAATGACAGGCAATCCCTATATTTTTTTGAAAAAGAAAAGCAAACAAAAAGGCAAAAGCAAGGTCTTTTTAGAGTTCACATTATTTATTCATTTGCTTTTGTTTAATGCTTAGCTAGTTTAAATATGAAAACATCAACATTGGTAGGCTCCTAACTTGAAAAGTATCTTGTGTTTTGAAAGCAATCTTTTAACGACTTGAGGGTGGGGGTGCTGTAAGGGTTGAGGGAAAGCCTGTCTCTCATAAGTGTAATAGAATCTAAACATTTTATTAGGGTTAAGATTATTACAGTAAGATAAAATTTTGGATTATTTTGGTTTGGATGGCAGTCCAGATTCTTTTCAGTCTCATTATTGGTTTAGGTAATGTGGCTCTTAATAAGAAGGCACTTTATTAGAAAATGTTTGTTAAAGAACAAAATCTCAATAATATGCTTCATTCCTAGAAATGGTTTCCCAAAGATTTCAGCATGTCAGTGTAGCATTTGAAAATAAGAAAACAAGAACATGAATATCTTTTCCTG